GAAAACAGTCCTTGTTCAAGAAAATGCTGTTTCAGGCTAAAGTCCCAGAGATCATAAAAGATACATGATGTGATAAACAAAACGAACCAGACAGGCCTGTTCGGTGACTAACCACTGATTGAATTTTCCAATACGCCTGGACTGTCTGAGAGATAAAGCATTCATAAAAGGTCCATGTTAAATATTAGGCTGTCAGGGTTTTTTTTCTTTTCTTTTCTTTTTTTTTTTTTATGTTTCTACTGAGGTCCAAGAACAGTTGAACATTTTCCTTTCCTCTTTCAATTTTCTTCCATTTCTCCCTCTTATTGGTTGTTTGTGTTTTTGAATTTTTTATGATGTGTGAAGACTGGCAAACAGTTGCTATGATTGTCAAATGCCTTAAATCAAGAAGAGAAAAATGCAATAAAACAGTTTCCATGGTAACCCACTGCAACTTAGTACCTCTGGATTATGAGCCAGCTCACATCCATGATCATTACTTGTTGACAGGAATAAATGGAGCCTAAAAGCATTAATTTTAGAGATAAAGCTGAGATGTAGGGCTAAGTTATAAGAACGTTTCAATATTTCCAAGGCAGCAACAGCAAACGGGCACCAATTGTCTTCCCATTTGGATGACATTAATAAAGTAAGCAGAGAGTTTTGGGGGAAATTGACAAGCTTTTCTCTCTAGGTGCCATAACCAATGTGCACTCCCCTCTTGAGGCTGCAAGTAGTAGCAGGCACTTGCTTGATGGAGTTAAAAGAAACCTGATGCGTGTGTGTGTGTGTGTGTGTGTGTGTGTGTGTGTGTGTGTGTGTGTGTGTCCAAAAGAGGCCAGGAGAAAGCGTTGGATCCGTTGGAGCTTACAGGTAGTTGTGAGCTACCCAAGATGGATTCTAGCACCCAAACTCCTTACAGAGAATCTGTAAGAGCCTTAACTGCTGATCCATCTCTTCAGCCCCCTCTGCTTTTCTTCTTTCTTTCTTTCTTTCTTTCTTTCTTTCTTTCTTTCTTTCTTTCTTTCTTTCTTTCTTTCTTTCTTTCTTTCTTTCTTCCTTTCTTTCTTTCTTCTGTGGGATGATCTGTATGTCAAATGTGTTGCTGATTGGTCAATGAATAAATCACTGATTGGTCAGTGGCCAGGCAGGAAGTATAGGCGGGACTAAGAGAGAGCAGAATGGAGAGAACAGGAAGCTGGGTGAGGGAGACACTGCCAGCCGCCATCAGGACAAGGAAGATGTAAAGTACCGGTAAGCCACAAGCCACGTGGCAAGGTATAGATTAATAGAAATGGATTAATTTAAGCTGTAAGAACAGTTAGCAAGAAGCCTGCCACGGCCATACAGTTTGTAACCAATATAAGTCTCTGTGTTTACTTGGTCGGGTCTGAGTGACTGTGGGACTGGTGGGTGACAGAGGTTTGTTCTGACTGTGGGCCAGGCAGGAAAACTCTAGCTACATCTTTCTTTCTTTCTTTCTTTCTTTCTTTCTTTCTTTCTTTCTTTCTTTCTTTCTTTCTTTCTTTCTTCCTTAAAAAATAATTTATTTAACTTAATTTTGCATTGATGTGAAGGTATCAGAATCCCTGGAACTGGAGTTACAGACAGTTGTGAGCTTCCATGTAGTTGCTGGGAACAGAACCCGGGTCCTCTGGAAGAACAACCAGGTCTGCTAACTTCTGAGCCATTTCTCCAGCCCCCTTCTTTCTTTTTAAAAGAATAGATCCAATTAAATGTGAACAACCATGTGTTTTTCTGCACATTCACGCCCATATTCCCATCAACAGCACTCAATCTATCATCAGATATTTTAGTGTTTTTTTTTTTAAATGATACACTGAATATAGCTGCTTCCAGCTGGCTTCTGCAGTTCCCACTAACCAATGTAATCAACAATTGAAAGATGGATGATTTTCAAAGCTGTAATATTTCTAAATATATCTTCATGATAATCCATAAAATCTGAAAGGATTTAATACAATGTAATACAATAAAATTGGTCCGTTTTCTCAATATTTAGATTTTAGCTAAGAGATAACTTCATTTTCTGAAGACTTCTGAGTCCCTTTTCCCTCCAAACATCTTTAAAGTAAGAGATGGGATTCTGGGCCAGCAAAAGAGCTCAGCAAACAGAGGCGCATGCCACCAAGCCTGATGACCTAAAGTCTAGCTCTGGCATCTACATGGTGGAGGAAGAAAACTGACTCCCACACGCTGTCCTCTGATGCCCACATTCATGCCATGGCCTGTGCACACACACGTATACCAAATAAAATGTAATAAACAGAAAAAAAAAGAGACAGGCTGTTACTGCTGGACACGGTGGCTCATGCACTCGGGAGGTGGAGGCAGGTTGATCAAGAGTTCAAGACCAGCTTTGGCGATTTATCAACTTAGTAGCCTGGGGTACATGAGATCCTGCCTTAAAACAAACTGTGTCAGACAGCTGGGTGGGATGGTGGCACGTGACTTTAATGCCAGCACTTGGGAGGCAGAGGCACGAGGGTCTCTGTGAGTTCAAGGCCAGCCCGGTTCCACACACTGAGTTCCAGGACAGCCAGGGCTATACAAAGAAACCTTGTCTCAGAAAACCAAACCAAAAAAACGAAAACAAACCTACCAAAAAAACCACAGTAACAACAACGAAAAGCCAGACTGTGTCAGATGCAGGAAAGGGAAGAAAGAAAGACAGAGTGGAAGGGATTGCTTTTCTTTAAAGCTTGGTTTTCATTATCTCATGCCTCATATTCAGAGGGAGTATTTATCAGTGTCCACTTCTCTCCTCTCGGGTTTAAAGCTCCAAAGAAGGCTGCTGTGAGGACTTACTGAGATGGAGGTATGCCAGGAGCTTTGAACAATACTTGATGCAAGTTAAGTCCTTTGAGAATATGTTAGCTGTCTTTACCATCACCATTACCACCATCACCACCACCATCACCACCATCACCATCACCATCACCACCACCATCACCGTCACCACTACCATCACCACCTCCATCACCACCACCACCACCCACGCCATCACCATCACCACCGACATCCTTGTATCTTATGTCCTCCATTGCATTTCAAGTCTACACATGCCTAGAAATGTTTGCTAATTTGAATGTCTATTTGTTAACTGGATTTCACTAGCTTTGTCAGGCTATGTGAGATTTTTCAGGAAGTTTGGTTTTGTGGTCTTTCTTCCCATGCTCTGTACCCTCAGAGATTCATAAAGCTCTCATTAGGGGAGCTCAAGTGTTTCGTGCAGGAATGCTATCTCCTAGTATTGCCAATTTGTAGGATGAAGCCCCTAGGAATACCGCAGGGCCTCTGAACCAATGCAGCAGAGCGGGCTGCATTTAACCTCCTGACCTGAGCGGGCACATATTTAAGAATTCTCTTTATTTTCAAGCAGTGATTTAGGAACTCGCTAGCTACTTCAGTGTTTTCAATTATTTTTCTTTGCTTAGCTTTTAAAGAATATAACCATTTTCCAATCCAAGTAATTTTCTTCCATTCTAGGACAGAGGATTATGTCAACACAGCATTTAGCTTGTCTGAACAACAACATCAACAAAATAGACACTGACCTGTCCCTATGCTGTTTTCAGAACTCATTATTAGGAATCCTCCCGTGTATTTCTAGCCGTTTCCGTTTGCCTCCCTCAGGGTGCATATTCTCATATGGAATCAGTCTCTGGTTATGTCTCTCTCGGAGCCACTGTCCTCATTCTATGAACACAGAGAAAATAAAGGCTACCAGGGTCCAGCTTGTTTCCCCAGGTTCCTAACATGTAAGAACTTGCTAGTACACTGTTGTGGCTGGCTTTTGAAGTTACTAAATAACGTTTGCCCTGTATCTGAAGGAAGAGGTTTCTTAGTTTAGAACAAAGGGTTTTTATTTTATATTATTATTTATTTATTCTTTTGTTTGGCTTTTTTGAGACAGGGTTTCTCTGTGTCGCCCTGGCTGTCCTGGAACTCACTCTGTAGACCAGGCTGGCCTCAAACTTAGAGATCCTCCAGCCTCTGCTTCCTGAGTGCTGGGATTGATTAAAGGCATGTGCCAGGGTTGCAAAGGGTTTTTTTTTTTTTTAACTGTTATTGTTTGTTTTCTCCCTATCGCTTTGTTGGCTTTTTTTTAAAGATAGGGTCCCACTGTGCAGCTCAGGCTGACTTCAAACTGGTGATCCTCCTGCCTCATCTTCCCAAGTGCTATCCTCTGAGTCATGTGCTGCCACAGACCAGTGATAATGTCGTACGGCGTTTGTTTGTGGTCTTCATTTAGAATACTTTATGATGGTTTGTAGCATGAATCTTAAAAGTTCTTATTAATAAAATCCAACCTGAGGCCAGTTATTGGGGTCAATGCTGGTCGATCAGAGAAACAGAACAAGCCACAGCTATCTCACCTTGCCAGTTCCTCAGCTGGTCCTGTTTCCTCAGACCGGAAGCCTCTGAGTCCTCATCCAGAATGAATCTCAGCTGAACTGTGTTGCTCCAAAGCCTGAAAGCTTAACCAGCCAAATGCTGTTGTTTCTGGTCCTCACACCTTATATACCTTTCTGCTTTCTACCACCACTCCCTGGGATTAAAGGCTGCTTTCTGGGATTAAAGTCGAGATGAGTCACCATGCCTGTCTGTATCCTTGAACACATGGATTTCTGCCTCTGGAATGCTAGGATTAAAGGCGTGTGCTATCACTGCCTAACTAGTGGCTTTTCTGTTCTCTGACCCCAGATAAGTTTATTAGGGTACACAATATTTTGGGAAACACAATACCACAATGGTTTGCTTTAAAAAAAAGATACATTTAGAATGTGTCTTGTGCTTTCATAATTGACTTTTCATGCCAAGGATTATTATTAATGCAATGTCATCTAAGAGCAGACAGCTTCAGGTGGTTTCTCACCGCAGACACAGCCTTTCCATCGCAATGATGTCTTCAGAGCCGTCAATGCTCCAGTTTATATATATACATTTATATATATATATATATATAAAAACTTACCGTTATCCTTGGCGTGCAGGCAATTTCACACCTGTATTTACTTATTTTTAATTAGCATACATATTATTAGGCATCGTTTGGCCATTTTCAAGCTTTGTCACCCTGTCGTGGTTGACTCTCTTTCTCCTTCGTCTCCTGCCTCAATACCGTGGTCCGCTCTCATGGCATGTGTGCCCTTCTGCCCTCTGCCTGTGTTTGGCCTCTCTTTTTCATCCTCTTTTGGCTCCTTTTTTATAGGGTTTAGCCACATCCATATTTTTACATTACCAGCTAGGATCCACATGATTTTTCTTTTTTCTTCCTTCTGTGTTTAGATCACCTTCCTTCTGGATATTCTTCCACATTTTTTTTTTGCGTATCCTTCGTGTAAATGTACCCCGTTTTCATTATCCATTCATCTACCAATGGCATCTTGGCTTCACCCTATCTTTATAGAACGTTATTTCATAGTTACTTTGGCTGCCTGTGTAGGAAGATGCTCAGGGTTTCCTTTCAGCCTGAGAGACTTCACTCCCAGACACCACGTGACGCTGGCATGCGCAGCAGGAGCATGGCCACAAGTCACCACAGAGTGATGGTGCTTCTGGATGACTCAGAGAAGAGTGACCTCAGTTTTGGGGTGCTCCTGTTCTCTCTGGAGCCCACTGTCCTTCAGCCCAGGGAAGGGCGTGGCCTGGGGGGCCGCAGGAAGTTGAGAGAGGGATATTGAGCCTTCCCTGGTTTGGTCAGTCAAAGGAATACTTCCTGTCACCAAGATCTTCAAAATGGTTCCCTGGAGACAGTGTCTTTCTTACTCTGCGTTCTCATACTCTTTTTACTATATGAGAATGATGGTAGTTAACAACTGTGTTTCCCTTACCAGGAGATCATACTAGCATTCCCCGCACTTTTGCTACATCCACGGTTTCCCTGTTACGGAGACTTTGAAAGCTTGTAATGAAAGGTGGGGGAAAAAGAAGTCAGTGGCCCAGTTTGCCTGTCAGAGACTCTGCTGAGGCTCAGAAAAAAACGATCTCTGAAAATTGACCTCTCTCAACTTCAAAAGAAGAGCAGCAGATGCTGGCAAGGAGTCCCTCTGAAGTATCCTCCTGGACCTCAGAGGACAGATCTTCCTGGAGATAGTCAATGGCTGGGACTCCCTTCCTAAGGTAGCTCATTAGTGGAGGAGGCCGATGCTTGTCTTATGGACAAGGTGACGCTGCACCCAGAACCCAGAGAAATTTATCCCAGGTTACGCCATCTTGCTCCAGGTCCATCCATCTCCTCCGAACTCTCTTACTCTTTCTCGAGCATCCCCTCCATCTGCTTTCATTCTCCCCTATGCAGAAATAAGCAAGCTCCTAAATCTCTTTCAATGGTCACTTTTCACGCTGCCCAGCACTAAATTTGCACTCTCCCCTCCTGTTTGTCGGCTGCTACGTTATTTCAGCAGGTCCAGTGATTGGCACACCAGGGAAGAAAGGCTGGCTCTTTCATCTCTCCTTTCCTGAGCTCCTCATACACCCCTGCTCCGTGTTCTAGCTTCAGCGCCCAGAGCTGCCTCCTAGTCTTGGTTCTATTTGGCATATGAAATGGTTGCCCTATGAGGACTCTGGGTAGATCCCTTCATTTCTCTAAAGACAGTGTAAGACAGGAAGTCATCTCTACATCTACAGTCTACAATTCTCTGTGTTGTCTTACCACTCTGCTCCCAATCTCACCTCATTATTCTCATTATCAAGCTTGTCTTTGAATTACAGCTTTATCACTATCCGTTATTGTTTGATTGATTTTTAAGAACTTACTTTGTATGTATGAATGTTTTGACTGCATGTAAACTCACCGCATGTGGCCCTGGTGCCTATGGAGCCTAGAAAAGCGCGTTGGATCTCCGAGAACTGGAGTTACTGGTGGTTATGAACCACATTGTGGGTTCTGGGAACCAAACATGGAGCTCCCAAGTACATTTAACTTCTGAGCCATCTCTCCGGACCCTGTTTGGTTGATTTTTGAGACAGAGTCTCCCTGAATTGCCTAGGTTGTCTTTGAACTGTTGATCTCTCTTTCTCCTTCTGAGCTGGCTAGTGCCAGGAAGCCTAAATTAACTTTCTGCCTTTCTATTTAGAATTTGTTTTTAAAGGGACAAGACACTTGTGTCGTTTACTATTTCCACACCACAGAGAAAATATCTAATACGTACTTAGTGATAGTTGAATTCAACTGCCCTGGATATTTTTTTTTTATATGACAAGTACATTCAAATAATAGGTAGCATAGACTGGCCAGGCATCACAATGATGTCAAATTCCTTGTCTGAATGGCACTTTAGAAAAAGAATTGATGGAACTCAATTTGCGATGTCTTTATGCAAATTTGGAAACAGCTCCCCCATCATGATGAGAAGAAACAGAGAGAGGCTTAAAATACAGATCCATGAACATTAGTGTAGAGAGAGAACTGCCTCCCCTTCTTGCCCTAGAGATGGGTCATTAGCAATTCCACCTTTATCTGATCCTGCAGGGAAACAGGATCTCACTAGCACAGCAACACATCATAAACTTCCTCCTTACAAAGGAAATGAAAGAGGGCATCCCCACCCCATGTCATGATGCAGAAATCGTGGACATTCTGAACTCACCCACCTCTCCACTTATCCCAGCTTTGTCAAGATAAGCCCTTTATTACACTGTTCCAAGGCTTTATAGAGGAGGTAATTTACATGACAGTAATTATGTTGCTATATTTAGAAGTGTGCTCTTTACTCATTCCTGCCAACTTGCATTTGCTTAAACATTCGATGGGCTTTTGAAAACTCAGAAGGCATGTATATGTTACTATTTAAAATATGACATTTTGGTGAAACGCAGTGTTGGTATATCTTCTGCACCTCAGAGGTTCTGGGAAAGACCAGAAGAATACTAACTCTAAAGTTCTTTTGTAAATAACGTAGTGTGAAGAAAGCAAAGTGCCTGTGCTGACTAGTCTCTTGACACAAGCTAGAGTTGTTTGAAAGAACCTCAACTGAGAAAATGCCTCCATAAGATCCAGCTGTAATGAATAGTGATTGATGAGAGAGGGCCTATCCCATGGTGGGTGGTGTCATCCTTGGGCTGGTGGTTCTAGGTTCTATAAGTAAACAAGCTGAGCAAGGCATGTGTAGCAAGTCAGTAAGCAGCACTACTCCATGGCCTCTGCATCAGCTCCTGCCTCCATGTTCCTGCCCTATTTGAGTTCCTGTCTTGACTTCCTTTGACGATGAACAGCAATATGGAAGTATAAGCCAAATAAATCCATTCCTCCCCAACTTGCTTCTTGGTCATGGTGTTACATCACAGCAATAGGTACCCTAACTAAGACAAAGTCCTTTCCCCAAGTACTTATTTATTTTGGACAGAGTATCATGATGTAGCCTTGGCTGGCCTGTAAGTCAATGTGTAGACCAGGCTGGCCTTGAACTTACAGAGATCCACTTGCCTCTGCCTCCCTAGTGCTGGGGTCAAAGGCACGTGCCACCACCACACCCCACTGACAATAGAAACTTTTAGAAGTTGAAAAGCAGAGCATACACCTTTATTTGTTATATGTTTAACACAACATGGATGCGTGTAAGAAAATGAAGACCCCAAGAAACAGATAGTGCTAAGCACTTTTAGCACTGGTTGATAAAGTGGGTAGCTGTGGAGAAGTATGGATAGGCCAAAGACTACAACTTAATGGGAACAAAGTGAGGAAACAGAGTCACCATACTTGTTATTTGAGATTCTTCTCTAATTCTTTGGGACTCAGCTGATGTCCTGCAACCTGCTTCCAAAGGTCAGAAAATCTTCCCCAGGTTTGGTGGCTGGCTTCAGAGAAGGAAAGGAGAATGTCAGAGAGACTTCCCTGCTTCTGGAATTCTCTCAACTCCCTTTACCTTAAAATAGTCAACATGCCACGGTGCCATGTTTTAGGGTAGCACATCCTGAACCCTATCCATGTCTGATTAGAGGGACGCCTCTATGGGTTTATTGGTCTTTCTCTTCAACTATTCTTAGTACTGTTTTTGGAATGTGGTACCTTCAAGCTATCACAGGTTTTTGGTTTATTTGTTTGTTTGTTTTTTAAATATGAGGTTGCAAGACACAGTGGTTTATAGTTACAATCCCCAAACCGGAGAGCTTGAGGCAGGAAGATTATGAGTTTGAGGCCAGGAGGAACTACACAAAGAAAGCCTGACTCAAAAAAAAATAATAATAATAATAAATATAAATAAAATAAAAAATAAAAACAACCTGATATTAGTGCATTTTTCTTTATCCCTGAGTTCAAACAACGAAAGGCAAGCAATTGTTTTGTGGGACAACTTATCTGAAACTTTGACTTAATGCAGGCCCTACTAACATTTATTTCATGGCACACGTTTGTTTAACCTTTGGACTTAGCAAACACACTGAGTGAGGCCCACCGGAAGTTGACTGGCCATCTGTGCTGTGTCATATAGATGAAGCATGGGGCCTTTCTTCCTCTTCTGGTGTCGCTGGTCTCAAGGATTTAGTCAAGATAACAGTGCCCGTCTTTTGTGTTGATATATTTCAGTATCAGGGTCAGTTCTAGAGGGGGAAACGCACACAAGCGTACACATATTTTCTTTTCTTGTCTCTCATTTACGTCACAGTCAAGGCTTCTATCACCAAGTGAGATCAAAAGAAAAAACCAAGACACTGATTTCCTACACCTTTTATGTGACTGACTGACGTGCCTTTATAAGGAAACGAAGAAGTGGGCTAACTTGTGTAGTCTTGTGCTTGGCCTTAAGGAAGGGTGTGCTGCGGCAGTGAAATAAGATTGGAGGATGAAAGGGCAATATTTACCGGTAACTAACAGGCCTGTTGTTTTGGTTTGAATGTGAAACTCTCCCAAAAGCTAGTGTGCTCAAACATTTGGTCACCAGCTGGTGGCTCTGTTTGGGGTGCTTATGGAAACTTCAGGAGTTGAAGCCTCATTGAGGAAGTGGGTCATGAGTCACTAGAGTGGGCCTTGGGGTTTCGAAGCCTGGCCCTCCTTTCCTATTCACTGTTTCCTGAGTGTGGATGTCACCTGACGGCCTCTTGTCCCTGCCACCGTGCCTTTCCTTGTGTGCTGCCGTGTCTTCTCAGGCATGAAAGACTGTATCCTTCTACATCCGAAGTCAAGATAAAACCCTTTCTCCCCGAAGTTGCTTTTGTTAGTGTATTTTATGACAGCAAGAGAAAAGCAACCAAGACACTCCTTAGTTTGTATTTTTGCCGGATCGTAGTGTCTTTAGAGAGGAAGGTGCACCTTTTACCAAAGGACAGTTCCTCTCATGTGAGGATCCTATGACCTTTAGAGGAATCCTTCCTAGGTTTTATGACCTGGTTTAGGAAAGAGACCTTCCTATTCTTCTACTGTCTCAAATTCCTTCAGCTTAAAATGTTTAGTATGCCAAGGTGCCACTTTTCCAGTCAGTGTGCCATTGATCCCAGAAGGCCTTTTCCATTACAAAAGGAAGAAAACTGGGCTTCACTGGGAAGCTTTGCCTTCCTGGCTGGAGTGGGAAACTCGGCATCTACGCTTTCCTTGACCATTCTGTCAGGTGAAGCTCATCTTCCATTTCATTGGAGCTATTTTACATCTCTGTGGGTAATTTATAGACATGCAAATCTTCCCTGTCTGGTAAAAATTTAATTGACTTCACTCCTCTATCACTGGGGGAATAAAAAGAAAAGAAACCCACTGGTTTCTTCTATACCATCCTCACTTCAATCCCGTTTTTCTATGTATCACTTTTGATTTGCTTGAAGAGGTGACAGTATCTGCTGGCTCCTTTTTGATTGATGGCCAGGATCAAATCTTGAACATGTGTTCATTTTTATATCTATAGCAAGGTCATGATTTTACCCTTCTTTGGAAAATGATCTTTTCATACCTTTATCCTTGGCCTTTAACTATTGTGTCTACCACCTGTGGTAATTCTTTATGTTTTTAAATAGGGAAATTTTGTTTCCCAAATTTGAGAGTTAACAAGGATTACCATTTTTGTGTGCATGGTGAGCTACAACACGATGGCCTGAATGTTCCAGAAAATCTGGAATTCACGATTGAAAAATGGTGTTTTTTCATAGAACTATAAAAACAAAAAATGCCTCAAGCTTATCTGTTCTCCATTGCAGAACCGAGGCCAACCAAAGATGAGAGAAGTGGAGACTCTTTTAAAGTTTGCACAGATTCTGAATTGGAGGCAGTGGCACATGTGTATAATCCCAACACAATGGAGGTGCGGGGAGGGGGCACTGGTAGGGACAGGAGGCTCTGAAGTTAGTTCAAGGTTGTCCTTGACTACATAGAGTTCAGTCTGGACATGACACAACCATCGCAGTCGTCAATTCACTGAAGCTTTGGTAACCGCCACAAGAAATGTTCAAGTTCAGGCTCATCACCTCATCGTGCAGGAGAAAGGAGCTCATGAGGGCCAGAGGCTCACTGGAGGAGGACCTCTGAAGGAATGGGTGCTGGGAGAGGAGGTATCTTCTTCAGCGGTGTAGCCACTGACAAACTGTTCCTGTTTCTGTGAACAGTCTCCCCTCCTGCTCATGTGAGCAGCCATCACTAAATTCATTGGAAACAAAGAAACTTAAAAGTAGGAGGTGTTGTATGACCGCACACACGCAGTTCAGGAGGTAAGCAAAGGGTCTTGCGTCTTACATCATCAGTGTGCGCTGGTGATCAGGTCCACGTGGCGTGGTCACACAATCTGTCCCTTAAAGAGCCGTGACTCAGACCCCACCCTCTCTCTCTCTGCTCTGCTCTCTCTCCCCCCCACCCCACTATCTTTCCCTCTGCTCTCCTGCTCCTTTCCCAGGTCTGGTTCTTCTCCCTCACCCCTCTTCCTCCTAATAAAGCTCTAAAACTAATACTGGGTTCTGTCATGACCGTGACCTTGCCACCACCAGCACCACTTATCATTCATTTCAGGAGAGGCCTTGTGAGGAAGAAGGGTTACTTTGGGAAAGAGGAATAGGAGAGGGGGTATAGACATGTATGAAATTATCAAAGAATTGAAAAACAAGAAAGCCTAGAGACTGGAGAGAGATCGCTCAGTGGTAAAGGTCACTTGCTACTCTCCAGAGGACCCAAATTCAATTCTCAACACCCAAGTCAGGCAGGTCAAAACCTCCTGTACCGCCAGACCCACGGGGATCTACCCCCTATCTTCTGGCCTCTGTGGTCAACTACCTGCTCACGTACAAACAGTCACTCATGCACATATACATAAACACACAAAATAAATATATTTTTTTTAATCAAGTGAAATTAAAACCAAAACCAGACAAACAAAGTCAACAAGATTGCACAGGTTTGAGGAGTCACAGAGTTGATCATTCTGGTTGGACAAAGCTTTTCTTTGCCCAAATCCATGTGAAAGCTTAGTTGCCAATGCACCATTATCAAGAGTGGATGGGATCTTTAAGAGGTATTAGTCATGGGGGCAGGGTCCTCCTGGGTGCCTTGGTACTTTTCTCCTGTGACTGAATTCCCTCCTGAAGAAATTTAATCAGCCCTCTCTGGACCATGTGCCTACTTGGCCATGGCAATGAGACTCTCAGCAGGAGCTGAGCAGAGGCAGATGCCCCATTATGGACTTTCAGCCTCTAGAACTGTGAGCAAAACACACATTGCCTTCTATATTACCCGCTCTTGACTAGTCTGTTATAGCAACAGAGCACAGACTAAGGCAGATAAGAAATTAAGCCAGACTAATTCAGATGTCTAGAGTGCCCCAATAAATCTGCTCCTTTGAAAGTGGGAATTACAAGACATACTTAAAAATTGTCAGATGTACCCAATACCATGCAAGTCTCTGGTGCTCTCTTAGGTACAAAATGAGATGATGAAGAGAATGGTGCAATTTATATATCTGATTGGTCTCCTTAATCTGTAGGTACTCTTCATATTTCACGTATGTATTTCCCACAATGCCTAGGCCCGTAATAAACACTTGATAACATTTCATTGAATAGACTTGATTGGAGTCAAATTAGTTATGCAAGCCAACCTCAGCTGATTTTAAACAAAGCTTCCTCTGACTGTAGCTCTGGAAAAAGGGGGCAGGCTGCTTCCGTGACTAGTTCTAGCCTAACCTTTATTCCAACCACAGATTCTAAAAATAGTCCAAGCAGGTGAGTGGTGAATAATTTAGAATCTAGAGCAATTGTTGTAAGTGAATACCTGGACCTACTTTCTGCCAGGAAAGTCACTCTATGTTCTGATTTGCATAGGAATATTTCCACAAGGGCTTCTGCAGAAGCAACTGTTCATCTAAGCCAGTGGTTCTCAACCTGTGAGTATTTACCCTTTCCCAGGGTTTGCATATCAGATATCCTGCATATCAGATACTTACATTGCGATTCATAACAGTAGCAAAATTATGGCTATGAAGTAGCAATGAAAATAATTTTATGGTTTGGGGGTCACTACAACATGAGGAACTGTATTAAAGGGTCACAGAATTAGGGAGGTTGGGAACCACAGCTTCTCAGCAAATCAGCAACTGTACTTTACACTCGATAGCTGCTTCCTTCCCCAGCAAATATTCTCAGGTCAGAATTCAGCTCAGGGGCCTGAGGCAGGGCAGTCTTAGCACACCGAGAGCCCTTTAGGTGTGTGCTAACAATATTTTGATATACTCGGCTTCTCCTCCCCCCAAGCTGTTTCCTTCACTGCCTGAGCTGTTTGGTAATGTCTCAACTGCTGCTGCTGAAGCCTTTTCTGGCAGGCTGCCCAGGGAGCAGCTCGCTCTAGATTCTGCCTCTCTCCAGGACTTGCCTGCTCCCGGTATAATGGGCAGCGCTGAAAGCAGCAAGGCGTTCGGTCGACAAGGTCAGAGCGCCTTTCATTCCTGCAATAATCAACCAGTGTAGCTCTTCCTCAGACCCGGAGAGAGAGAAGATAGGAGTCAAAAGAGCAATTACATTTCACGTTGACTCCAGGAAAGGCTTGGATCACGAGACAGAAAAGAAAAAGTAGATCCTGGCCTCATTCTTAGCTGGTCCCCTTCTGGTCATCTTTGTGTGATTGACACAGTTCCGAGGCGATCGTGAGTTTCGGCTTGATGACGTGAGAAACGCATTTTCTGCCTGCAGATGAGACCCTTCGTAGACATTTAGCACTGTCAGCATATTGCAAAAGAATGCAAATGAGCTGCAGGATCTATAACCAGAGACAGTAAGCAAAGGCCATTAATTATGTTTTTAAAAAAATGTTAACCCTAGCAGACTGTATAACAAGCAATTGTGCTAATTTCAATCTGTAATCAGTCCCTACATTAGCATAACTTTATTTATTTATCATTAAGGCAACCATTTAGAGAATATAATTTGGTTGGAAATGTCAGTAATTTTGCAGTGGCAGATTGCTGTTACACAGCTACCTCTGTTTGACCTTACAGCTGCCAGGACTAATTACTTTAATTGCATTAATTGCACTGACCATTCTGGTGGTTAATGTAGTTGCTGTTACTCTTTCACCGTTGAGCAAATCAGCCTGGCTGCATTCTTAGCAACATGGGCCAATACACTCCTGTAAAGGTCTCTGCGGATTCCTTTTGTGTTTGAGAGCCCAGATGAGCTGCTTGATATTTCATCGGTGCCCCTCATCGATAGCGTGAATTCTGAAGAAAGCCTCAGAACACTGAAAAACAAGCCCCAAGCTCTCCCAAACCCAAACCCGAATAGCAGCAACAATAACACCCAGACACACACACACACACACACACACACAGAGAGAGAGAGAGAGAGAGAGAGAGAGAGAGAGAGAGAGAGAGAGAGAGAGAGAGAGAGAGAGAGAGGAGAGAGAGAGGGGAGAGAGAGAGAGAAACTGTTATGGTTCTAACAGATTCTCATGGCTTATTGGAAGTTGACTGAAGTACAGTCGGCTCACTCGAGACAAATATTTAAGAAATGATTGGAGCAATTTAGACAGTAAATTAAAACTCTTTCATGAAGTCTTCTTGAGAACTCAAGGCTGTTGTTTGGACCTAATAATTGAACAGGTAGCTTTCCCGGGAACTAGACTCGACAGAGATTTAAATATTTGATTATGATGTGACTGAAGGCCCATGGTACTGGGAATCTACAAAACAGACACTCTCTCCTGCCAGGAGGTGTTCCTCAGGACATTTGATAAATAATTGACTAGTAGGAACATGTCTGTTAGTCGAAATGAAGTCCGTGCGAAGTTGGTGAGTCTCCAAGTCAGATGCCTGGCTCGCCCAGTGCATTAGCTTATCCAGTGCTGGAAACTATTGCCTGTTTCTTCCAGGTGACCATCTAGCCTCTGCCTAAACACCAGGTACTTCATTCTTTATTTCAATTTTGTTTTATCTTCACACTACTAGGGGATCAAACCCAGAGAGCCTTGTGCGTGCAAGGTAACCAACCACTCTAGCGTTGAGCTGTGTTCCCAAACCTCTTCAGGTATTTTTAAGTCGTATCATTGAAGAACTTGAACTGTAAAAGCATAGTTTGATATGCCATGGCATGTGCTTATCTGTTTTATGACAACTTGTACTCATTGGCTCCTAACGAAAGTTGACATGTACTGAGTGAGTGCTACTGTTCCAGGCATTGTGGAGACACTGCCACCCCACCTCAGAGTCACTAAGGAGCCGAGAATGACCTTGAACTTTCGGTCCCCCCAGCCTTCACCTCCCGACGGCTGGGATTACAGGTTGTGCGCCACCATTCCTGGTTTATGAGGTGCTGGAGATTGAACCCGGGACTTTGCACATGCTCAGCAAGCTTAATGCCAAGTAAGCTATACCCCCCAGCCCTGTTTTTGATGCTTGAACATGTTCGCTTAGCCCTCCCAACAACCTGTGCAAAACACACAATTCACAAACGCTGCTACACCTCGGAAGTTGTGTAATTCATGGCGGCAGGATCAGGCTTCCCCAACCCTTGGGAGAAAGGTTTATTTAAAATTTAATTTTATATATTATTTGTGTGTGTATGTGTGGGTGTGGGTGTGGGTGTTTGCATGCCGTGGCGTACATGTGAAGGACCAAGGACACTTGATGGGGTCAATTCTCTCCTTCCACCTCTCTGTGTGCTGGATGAAATCCAGGTTATTAGGCTTGCCCACTGTGCTCCATTGCCTTTCAATTGGATGAATTCTTCCTGTAAGGCCACAGAGAGCTGATGAAACGGCTCTTCTACTCTGCCAGGAACTCCTAGCTAGCTGTCTCTGGTTTCTCATATCACGGAGCTCCAGTTTGGCAATCTGTCTCCCTAAAGCAAGACAGCTGGATCTGAATGAATCTTAACTCACAGAATGCCGGCACTGTGGCTTCAGGCTAAATTCCACTCATCTTCAAGTTTTCAGGCCATCTGTCACTTCCTTGAGAGAGCCTTCCTTACCTCCAGTCTATCTCCCGGAAGCTTCATCATAAGCTCTGGTAGAAACGTTCACAGCCTGCAACTGAATAATTAATAATTCCAACTCTTTGCCCTTAATAGGGAACAGAGAGATAGTGTTGCCCATTTGCAGTAGCTTTACTGTGAACTAGGAGATTAACTAGTTAACTAACTAGCTAAGTAACTGGTTATTCACTACAAAAGCTGAAAGAAATTCACAGATTCTTCTGAGTATATTCTGTATTCCACCTACAGTATTGCTACCCTAGTTTGTTTTGTAATGCTATGTATAATAAAAGCCATACCCAAATGCACCTTGGGGAGGAAACAGTTTCTGTGATTTACACATCCCGATCACAGTCCATCCTTGTGGGAAGTCAGGGCAGGAACTCAGGGTAGGAATCTGGAAGCAGGAACTGAAGCAGAGACCGTGGAGGAATACTACTTACTAACTTGGTTCCCATGGCTTGCTCAGCCTGCTTTCTTATGCTGTCCGGGACCATCTGCCCAGGGGTGGCCCTGCCCACAGTAAGGTAGGTCCTTCTACAGCAATCCTTTCTCAAGAAAATTCCCCACAGACTTGTCTACAGGCCGAGCTGTTGGATTTCCTCAATTGAGGTTCCCTCTTCCCAGATGACCCAAGCTTGGGTCAAGTTGACAAAAAACAAACAAACAAACAAACAAAAAAAACAAACACCCCACCTAACCATCACATTTCTTCCATATGTATATGACAGGCTTTTTTGTTTGTTTGTTTCTGTTCTTCTTTTGAAACAGGGTCTCACTAGGCAGCCTTGCTTAGCCTAGAGCTCACTATGTAGACCAGGCCGGCCTGATATTCTCAGAGATCCCTGACTCTGTCTCCTGAGTGGCTAAAGGGCTTCTACGTACACATTTAGCTACACAAGGCGAAGATACATGACTGTGGGATTTTCGGAGACAGGGACTCATGTAGGTCAGGCTAGCCTGGAACTTGATCTGTTGCTGACGTTGGCCTTTAATTCCTGATCTTCTTGCCTCTGCCTCCCAAGTGCTAGAAACACAGATGTGCTCCACCATACCTGGCTTATATGTTGCTAGAGGTGGGACCTAGGATTTCAAGCAAGTCAGACAAGTACCCTACCCACTGAGTTACATTTTCTTCCCACGAACGGCTTTTTCTTAAAAAAAATCCACCTCACTGGGCATAGTGATGACTGCCTGTAACCCCAGTCCTTGGGGCTTGAAGAAGGATGATTGTGAGTACTAGATCAGACTGGATATTGAAAAACCTTATTTCAAAAAAAAGCATATCTAGAACTTGACCAGTTCAGAGAGGAAGTAAGTCCCTTTGACCCAGTCTTCCTACTCTTTCCTCTACTGCCCTTTTACACACAGCTAATTCCTTGGTGACAGCTTGTGACTCCGTCAGGCCTGGTGTCAGGTCACTGTGCCTTAAACCTCCCCCACAGAATGGGGACAGAGGGCAGCAGGAAGGATACATACTCAGAGAACAACACAGCATGTATAGAAATGCCACAATGAAACCCATTAATTTGAACAATTAATATATTTTTTAAAGAGTCACAATACAAAACTAAAACCAAATCAAAGTGGGGAAGAAACAACCCAATTTTCTGTCTCCATCATGGTGGGGTGTGGTTCCTCCGAGCTCTTGTTTTCCATACTCTTTCTGGCTTTCTCCTTCTGGACCCCTTTTCAAGACTCCCCTGGGATAGCACACCCTAAGTTTCTTTAGACAACTCTACCTTCTCGGAGACTCCCTCCTCTCCTCTCTCGCTGTCCTGTAGCACGGCCTCCCTCAGTCCTTCATTGCCTGCTCTCTGTACCATCGTGCTAGCTGCTGCTTCGGGCTTTCGCTCTAACACCTCTGTAAGCTTTCATAACTGCCACATTTCATTCTCCCATGGAGAACCGCCGGGGTCCCCTAGGAGCCAGAAAACCTGTGTGCCTTCAGCAGGCAGGCACATCTCCCAGGGATCTACATTTGCAGTCCGGGGTCACTCTTTGCCAGAAGCAAGATCAGAGGTAATCAGATCATTCTATTTTCTTTTTGTCTTAACATTCCATCTCGATTTCTTAGAAAGGTTATTGATGATTCCTCATTCTCAGCCTGAGCACAATGGTAAGAAATAAAATAAACTCAACATTTTTATCTTTATTTTTTTGTCAGCAGCATTGACTTTTTAAAAGGTCTAGTTTGCTTATATGTGTATGCACATTTGTGTATTTGCCACAAGGGTGTGGATATCAATAGAGTTCAGAAGAGGGTATGGGATCTCTGGAGCTACCTGACTTAGATGCTGGGAGCTGAACTCGGGTCCTCTGGAAGAGCAGCCAACACTCAACCGTGGAGCCATCTCTCCAGCCCCCGAGTATATTTTTTACTTCATTATTTTTTAGTTTTTCTTTTTATGTGTTGGTTTCGAGACTGGATCTCATGTAGCCCAGGCTGGATTTGAATTCACTGAATAGTTAAGAATGACCCTGAACTTCTACACCTCCTGTCTCTACTTCCCTTAAGAATGACCCTGAACTTCTACACCTCCTGTCTCCACTTCCCAAGTGCTAAGATTATAGACAACCATCATCACATTTAGCTTTAACAAACAAACACATAAACAAACAAACCAAATGAAACCAAACTCCGCCCCCCAAACTACATTTATTCTTTTTTGGGGGGTTGGGTGGGGAGGAAAGGCTTTATTTCAGCTTACATGTCCCGATCACAGGCCATCATGAAAGGAAGTCGGGTTAGGAAACCAAGACAAGAATCTAGAGGTAGGAACTGAAGTAGAAGCCGTGGAGGAACACTGCTTACAGGCTTGTTCTCTATGCCTTCCTCAGCACATATCACATCCCCTTTCCTTTCCATCCTTCAAACTATCCCACGTACCCTGCCCTTCGCTTTCTTTCAAATTCATGGCCTTTTTTTCTTAATTATTGTTGCGTGCACATGTGCCTGTGTGTGCGTGTGAGTGTGTGTATTCTTAAATATAAAATATATCACCCGCTCAAGCTGTACAAAGTTACTTGTGTGTATGTTTTTAGGACTGACCATTTGGTATTAGATAACCCATCGGTGTGCTATTCCCTGGGGAAGACTATTCTTCCCACCCTTGGGACTCCTTAGTTGCCTGAAATTCTTTGTCTAGGGCTGAAGCCTCATGAGCTTTCTTCTTTCTATGTTAGCGTGTCTGTTGGTGTCAGCCTGGTTCAGGTCATGTTTGGGCAGCCATGTTGGTGAGCAAAACTTTCATTCTTTACAGCACTGTTCTTCTAGGGGTGTGCTATTGAATTGCTTTTGTTCTCAGCTGCAGGTTCTCTGAGCTCCTAGGCATGCTTTTGAAAGGCTGAGCTCAAAGGAGAGTTCTCTAAGCAACCGTATTGATTTCTTTGGTTTTTCCTTCCATCTCTAATAATTTTTATTGTATCGTTAGATTTAATTTTCTCTTCCTTCTGGGCCTATCTGGATTATTTAGGAAAACAAAACAAACAACTCTCTGGACCTGGGACCAAACATGTTTCCTTCGAACTTTCAAAAATGTGTTTTTCCATACTGTGGGATGCGTGGGTAATGAAGCTCAACACTTCTGTCTTCTTATTTGAATTTTATGACGCTCTTCCTTCTCCCAAGCTTAGCCCTTCTTTGTTCTACAGCTGTCCTTTCTTGAATATCAGAATCAAGTTCAGAATAAATGTGTCCAAGCTGACAGGCTTCATTTCTTTATTTGCACTGGTCTTCTGGTTTCAGAGATCATGGGCATCCGAAATCCTATATGCTGAGCAACGGTCACACAAGACTTTGCTCTGATTGCATAGGCATTAGCAAGAAATGCCAGCGGACCAAGTGGCCTCAGGAGAGGTACCCACTCTCCTGACACTTAAGGTGATGGGTCACTCTCATCCCAGTGACTGACGCCAACATCCCTCTTCTGTGGTCTCCGTTACCTAGAGGCGCTCCTCCGACAGATGGGAGGAGACAAAGGACAAAGATGGGAGAACTTGTAAACAAGGAAGAAAAGGGTAAGGATATGGTAGATGTTACCTATGGTGACTGTGTTGTGAGTCAGGCCCGTGCTAAGCACTTATGCAAGCTCACCATTTCTTAGTGCTAATACTGTCGGAGAAAACTGAGTGATACATTAATTGGCTTCTCAAAGTCACATTCCGGGGGGGTGGGGGGTACTCTTAGGATAATAAAAACAGAACAAAAACACAGAATAGCTGAAGAAATAGCTTAGCTCTTGAGAGGACCCAGTTTCGTTCCTAGCTCACAACTCCAGTTCCAATGTCCTCTTCTGGCCTCTGTGGTCACCAGACATATGCATATGGTGTGCTTACATTTGTGCAGGCAGAACACTTATAGACATGAAATAAAAATGAATAAATATAAAGAAAGTGAAATACAGGCATCTCATTTATACGCATAGCAAAAGTAATGGCCTTATGTCATGACATAAACCTAGACATACCTGGGAAGAAGGAATCTCAACTGAGGAATTATCTCTATCAGATTGCTCTGTAAACATGTCTATGGGGCAAGGACTGATTGCTAATTGATGGAACACATCTTAGCCCACTGTGAGTGGTCCTGGGTTGGGTTAAGAAAAGTAGGTAATGGGAATAGAACTCTGGAAGCAAGACAGTAAACAGCGTTCCTCCATTGTCTCTGTTTCAGCTTTTGTTCCAGGTTCCTGCCTTCGCCTCCCTTGATGAAGGAATGTAAGATACAAGATGAAATAAACTCTCACCTCCCCATGTCGCTTTTGGTCATGACATTTATCACAGCAACAGAAATGCGAACTGGAGCAACTTATAAATGAGATGTTCATGCTGGGCGGTGGTGGCGCACGCCTTTAATCCCAGCACTTGGGAGTCAGAGCCAAGTGGATCTCTGTGAGTTCGAGGCCAGCCTGGTCTACAGAGTGAGATCCAGGAAAACCAGGGATACACAGAGAAACCCTGTCTCTAAAAACCAAATATATATATATATATATATGGTTTATACACCTATATAAATATATATGGTTTACACGCACAAAGTTTGTTACAGCAAACTTTGAGAGATTAGCTTCTTGGTTTGGTTATATTACTAATAATTCTGGCATTTTTCACAGGGGGCCTTTTATCATATTTTCTTTCTTAGAAAATGTATCCTTTATATGAGCATATTTTTTCTAGGTAGGCTTTTGTTTTTGTTTGTTTTCAGCTTTGAATTCTATTGATGAGCTTTCTAAGCAAAATTCGAAGAGAAAGATATGTGCCACCCTCCTGGTAGTCATGGATTTTGTGGTTTTTTAAAGGAACTGGTTTTCTTGGTACATTACTGTCAGCTAAACAAATAAATGTTCTTTGAAAAGTCTGCTTTTAAATGCTAATGGAAATATTGATTTTTCACCTCTTTTTTTTTTTTAAACCAGAAAATTCCTATTTACCTCCCAATCTCCATTCTGAGTTCCGCTCTCTTAAGCGTTAGTGTCGCAGGTAAGTGCCAAGCCAAGGTGACTAAGTGGATGTCAGGCCAGTTGCAGAAACAGAGGGAAGACTTAACTAATGGCACAGGTCTTCTGAGTCAATGGACCCCGTCTCTTCTGATTTCATTATCAATTCACCACAGGAACCTGACAGAGTCAGATGTTAAGTCCAATTTAAAAGCTGAAAGACAAAAAGATGGGGGAAAGATCCAATCTCAGAGTCAGGTAAAAACATCATAATTCAGAGTAAATCTTTATTATTGATTTATAGCCACAGACTGTTGTCCAAAGGTTTCCTCTTTAAATTAAGAATACTAATGATTTTGCACCCTGAAATAATCCAAGAGCTGTAGATATTAGAAAAAGGGATTGAATGTGTTCTTCAACCGGAAAGTGCCAATAAATGGATATTGGGTCTGTTTCCTCAGCAACTGGCCAGCGATGTGAGAATCCCTGGTTTCAGGGAGCTGAGATTTGTGATAAAGCAGCCTGTTTGCTGAGGCTCCTGTAACCTCCAACACAGTGACTTTCTGATAAACAGATAGACTGAGAATACAAGTTCTGCCTAATTAGTTTGGAGACTAGAAGAGGCAACACAGACCCCATGCGAGGCATGCTGGGAAACCTAGACCTGGGCAAAGTGCTGATCCTTTCTAGAGAAAACTAGTAGTTGCCAGGAAACCAAGAAGCCCCCCCCCCCCCACCCCTACCCCATCCCGGGAATACCAAATAAATGTTACTAGGAAATTGCTATAGAGTAGTTTTACTACTGAGTATTTTAAATTACCTTGTGCTATGGTGTATGTGTGTATGCGGCTCAGAAATCACTTCTGTGATATCATAGCATGGAAGGGGGTCTTTCCACCATTAAGCAAGTAGTTCTGTAGCTGCAGATCCCCCGCTGGGTGTCCTCTAATGCAATTAAGTTCTGGCACTGTGTACCTGGGGACAGCCTCAGATCCCCATCTGCCAAACTGCCCCCTACCTTGAGGTACCAGGCACTGCTGTTTTTATGTGGACAGCTGACGGGCTGTACCTGGGAGTTCCCACAATTCCCTCCAAGAGTAGTTCAAAGAATGGAGCGAAAGACATTTACTAGTTTACTCTACAGAGCACAGAACGTTTTTATAAAGAGACACACAGGGTGAGGAGTGAGAGGAAGGCTACAGAAAGTCTGTCTCCTTTGGGACTCCCCCTACCCGAGCACAGCTTTTACCAGAGCGCAGTTCCTCATAGGTGTTCAAGCGCTGGGCTTCAGCTGTGCCTGAAGCATAACCAGGCTGAAATGAACCTGGCCAAAAGGGTTGTGGTCTTGTGCAAACAGACCTAACTAAAACCTCAGAAAGGCCTGTCCGTCCAGATTCTTGCAGGCCTTCTGTGTTGCATTCCTTCCTTGTGGGGCACGGGCCAAGGCCTGCTTCTGAGATAAAGGTCTTATCTCAGAGGATTGGTGGCCATCTCCTAGGCAGCCAGGCAGGAACTCCAAGATAGAATAGGTGAAGGCCGGGCGGTGGTGGCGCACGCCTTTAATCCCAGCACTCGGGAGGCAGAGCCAGGCGGATCTCTGTGAGTTCGAGGCCAGCCTGGACTACCAAGTGAGTTCCAGGAAAGGCGCAAAGCTACACAGAGAAACCCTGTCTCGAAAAACCAAAAAAAAAAAGAATAGGTGAAGGAAGATTTGAGCTTTGATAACCTGTCCCGGAGAAGAGAAGATTTAGCCCGTATGGCCTGCCTTGCTAAGGGAGAGTAAAGTCAAGAACTATGGACAAAAACAAGGACAGCAAAATAATGCAGAGTGTAATATCACAGTTCCTCGGGGCTCGTAGGGGGAGCGTTCCCTGCATATATGACATATGGGAGGATTTGTTCAGTGACTTACGCGGAGTTTAAAATGCATCCTACATGAAGCATAGTGACCCTGCTATGCGGATACATTCTTGCGAAATGACTGTTAGGCTGGACTGAATTTCCTTTGCGGTTCCTCCAGACCACAGCCAGCTATGAAAGACAGAGCCTGGGCTACTCCCTTCTGAAAGTAGTGTCTACCGTTTGAGGGGTGGATCCTTTCATCTTTCTCCATCGGCTTCGTAATTTCTTTAACTTGCTGTTTCTTAGAGTTATAAAGCCAAGGAGGAACGAGGCCTCTGATGACTTCAAAGAGGCTTTTGGAAGCGTGTCCCCCACCCACCCACCCACCCACACACACTGAAGCATTAAGGTACATTGCATAGTCCTCCTCTGGTCTCTGTCCTTGAGACCTCTGTACCAGGCGATGACAAGCGGCGTGCAGCTGCCTCCAGTTACAAAGGAATTCACTGTCGCCCGTCTCCAAATGAAGCTGAGGATGTTCTGTGGAAGTCTTTAACCTTTTATCAACAAGACCCTGGTAGAGGCCCAGGGAGTACGTCTGTGTCTGCTGAGCTGGATGAGGCCTTGAGTTTGAGTCTCAGTACCAAAAAAAATGTAACTAAACACAACCCAACCTAATGAAACCACTCTGCCCATGTACATTCTTTCATTTTGTACATGAAAGGACAGTGTATCCGAGACCACGGTCCATACAGAAACCAGAGAGAGGAGGCCCGGAGTCTTCGTCAGGTGTTGGAGCTGGTGTTTGGGCACAAGGCTTTCATTCAGGGGACAGCTTGCTTCCCCACAACTGACAGTGAATCTAACCCAGTGCTTCTCATCCTTCCTAATGCTGCGACCCTTCCATCCAGTTCCTCATATTGTGGTGACCCCCCCAACCATAAAATTATTTCCTTTGCTACTTCTTACCTGTACTTTTGCTACTGTTGTGAACCACAATGTAAATATCTGATATGCAGTTTATCTGATAATGTGACACCTGTGATAAGGTTGGTTGACCTCCCAAATGGGGTTGTGACCGCCCCCTACCCCCACCCCCACAGGTTGAGAACCACTGATCTCAAACACTGTTGGCCTCCAGAGTGTCCAGTTAAAGACTAGAAATTATAGATTAGTAGCTCTAGGCCCTGGCTGTGCTCTAGACACATTGGGAACATTAAAAGGATGACTGAGGAGATGCTCAGTGGGAAGGGGCTTGCTGCCGACCCCAGGACCTGTGCTTGCTGCCGAACCCCAGGAGCCACACAGGAAGAGGAGAGAGCTGGCCTCCTCCCCAGTTGTCCTCTGACCTCTACGCATGCACATTGGGGGTCCATGTGTGAATGCACACACACATACACACACACACACAGAGAAAATAAAGAAGTGTAGTTATAAAAACACTAAAAAAGAAAAGAGGGACGAGTTGAAAATAACAAATATACTTGATTTTTTAAAAAACAAACTGGACGATTTTGGAGTGAGCAGTGGCTTCCTCCCATCTCTCTGTCTTCAGTTACCCAGTTTCCAAATTCTGCTCTACGACTGAAAATTACGTAGACGGCCAACTTTTGCCTCATAGCCTCTGTGAATTTTTTGGTGTGTTTTCAATGAGTTCCCAAGGTGATCCTGTTACCCTGGCAGATTATGAAAATGTGATTAAAAAAAAAAAAGGGGGCCAGGATGTCCCCCTGCAGCGGATATACTTTGTGCCGTATAGGCTGGGGCTCGGGCTGAGTACCACGTCAGAATCAGAACCCCTTCCTGTGCTTGTGAGGCTGAGGGGAGGTTTTGCTTTGCAGGTGGTGTTTGACTTACCAAGGCCTGACTCACTACGGTTTGGCTCTGCAAAGGTGCAAAACCAGGAGACAGCCAATAGACACCCCACCCCCTTTTTATTTCTTTCAATGCTGGAGACCAAGTCTGGGGCCCTTGCATATGCCTGGCTAGTGCTCTACCGCCAGACGGCATCCCAGAGCCCATTCTTCTAACTTGGAATTTTTATTGTTGCACAGGCTAGGATGTCCTGTGCATACCCTTGGGATGCTTAAGTATTGCAGTCACTGAACATTTGCGCCTAGTCTCAGCTCCTGGCCAGCGATTCAGTCAGTAGGAGGAGGAACTAGCTAAATATCATACATTACAGTATTGGGTCATCAGTAAATCACATGGAGCATTCATTACTTTAAAAGAAGGTATGTGTTCAATGACTTGCACAACTGGAGGGTAATAGAAGGTTCTAGCGGCAAGGAGGTAAGTTGGGTTGAGCCATGATAGTAGATGGGTCATCAACACATTTTCAATGTGTGGGATTTTCAGTGGACAGCGGGTTTCCTGAGGTCATGCTGTATCTGCACACAAACTGTGAAGCACAGCTAAGACAAAACAGGTCAAGGACAACCAAGTGAACTTAGAGCCTTGAACTTAAGGGAACTTTCTAGATCTGATTGCATTTTTCTGTTGCTCATTGTGTACCACTGCCCCACACTTGAGAAAGCAGGGGTTTGGACACTATAAAATCTGTCAGGTTTTCTGTTCTAATACTCTGGGGTGTAAAAAAGATCGATAGCTTATTCTGGGTCCATTCATACTTTTTCTTACTAGGTCCTGATTCTGTTCAGATAAGAGAGATTACCACAGCCTGACTACTTCAAGGGAGGCCGATTCCTCCATGTCTGCCAGACTCTCCCTCCCATCAAATATGGACAGAAAGCACCATGGGGATGAGGACCATGTGACTCTCCCATGACTGCGGTGAAATAAACCTTTGTCCTGAGCTAACACTGACCCAGGAGGGAGAGAATCAAGACTCGTGTCAATGTATTGAGCTCAGCATCCAGCAATGCTGTCACCCTCACTCTGTCTGAGCTTCCTGATATACGAGCCAATAAATCTACTGCTTGAGCAATTCAGAGCTGACTTTTCTGTTACCTGAAACTGAAATCCACCTAGATAATCCATCTTCTTTAAGTCTAAACCTCTCATTCAAGACCTTAATTCATCCCTCAATTTTAGGTATCTTTTATTAGTTTCTTGGCCATTTACCTTGTCTTTCTTTATTCTGTTCTTTTAGCTTTATGACCCTCAGATGACTTAGTACCCACTCATTTGCCATTTTTAAAAATCATTTTTCCTCTCTACTCTGGGTCTGGAGCAAACCAGCCTTCAGAAGTGTGTGTGTGTAACTTGTGTACCCCCACTCTTGTTCATACTCTAGAAGTATTCCACCCAATGACTAAAAAAGAGGAAGCTTTGTACAGTCATGCATTTCGAAAATCCAGTTGTCTGTAGGAGATACTGCCAATGTTCCATTTCCAGAGAAGCGAAGAACTGTTTGAATCTTGAGGCTAGTGGAGTGAGAAAAAGTTTCAAGTGTCTTAGAGTGCTTCCTTCTCCATCCTGGGAAGTCAATTTTATAGGAGCTCAAAGAAGGAATTAATTTCTTCTTCTGTCTTATGTCTCAGAGTTCTTTCATATGCAACCAGTTAAGTTTTACAAAAAGCTGTAATGGAGTTTTTTTTTTTAATCTCCTTATTACAGTTGGTACATCCAAAGCTTTTCCTTAAGGCCATTCAAGCTCATACAAGAGCCAAAGTCATCACAGTCATCCTTAACCTTTTATCTGCTCTCCTGGTAACTTGTTAAGACTTTTTGCCGTCCTGTTAGGTGGTAACCTTGGTGAGCAGCTGGTGGCCTTCATAGCTTCTGGCTTTGCGGGTTTATGGCTTCAATCTCTTCATAGCTCCCCTTGGGAGGGCAATGATAAAGTCCAGCTGCCTCCCATCCTCAGGCCTGTAGTAAACACAAGATCATTGAATAAATGGCTGCTTCCTATCACTATTTCTCTAGTTTGATCTCCCTTCCAGGTTTGGGTGGTCTTTGTGGTCCCCATGTGTGGAATTATAGCTTCGGTTATAGCTGCCAACATCGTAGATCTTTGAAATGGATTAGATTGTTCAGAGTTACCCACAGCCTTGTTTCAGGGCTGAATATTTCCTTTTTTTCTCCTCCCAAGTAATCCATCCCAACTTGTACTGGAAAGTGACACTATGCCAAGAAAAAGACATCAGAAGTACTCTCCGACATGTCAAGCTGGCTGTACAAAGAGTGATAGGGCTTTGGCTTCCCATGGCCAACTCTATACTTCTGAAAATTATTTACAGGACAAGAGCTACATAAATTCCAGATGATCCAGTCCCCAAATACATCCCGGTTCTTTAGAGTTGGCATGTGCGACAGGTCCTTCTTGTTACTGAAGTAACTACGCTTGGGGGTATAGCTCATTTGGCAGAGTTCTTGCGTAGCATACATGAGACCCTGGCTTCTCTGACCAGTACTACATAAACTGGGAGTGGTGCCATGCCACATCCCAGCATTCAGAAGGTAAAGGCAGAAGGACAAATGTTCAAGGTCATCCCTGACTGTATAGTTTGAGGCCAGGCTGGACTACATGAGACCCTGTCTCCAGGGAAATAACTATTTCCAGTATCATAATTCTCTTTCCCATAAATTGAGGGAAAGGAGGGGAAGAAATAATAGATACTCACATTTATTAGACGTTGCTTACGTGCCAGAATTTTCATGGTTATAAATTGATTTGTTCATCAAAGCTCCACAGTGAAGAGCAGTGGAAACTATGCCCCGCCCCCTGCCTTTCACAGAAACAAGTGACATACTGACCTTCAGAGAGGCTGAGTGGCACTTCCTCTCAGGAGTCACTAAGTAGAGACTTGAGCCTGGTTTTGTCCCAGTTCTTTCACAAGCATTCCACCTACAAAATAACTATGAGTCTGTCATTGTTCTGGGGGAAGCCAAATATCCAAACTCAAAATGTCAAGAGGGCTAGGATCCTCGCAAGGATGTAGGGAAGAAGCTAGCATACACATTCTGGCTGGTGGACCTGCCTGGTGTCTACCTTGGCTTGTGGCAGTATAACCCAGAACCCAGTCTTTTTCTTTACAAAGCCTTTCCCCGGGGTTGATCTCCAGATCCACTTCTGTTTCTCCAAGAGTATTCACTAGATCAACCTCAACTCTAATCTAGAAGGATCTCACAGTCAGTTTCTTAAACAAAACTGATGAGTCTTTCTCTGAATTATATAGCATTCCGAGGTTCAGGATAGACCCTGACTTCTACAGGATACTACCAGTCAAGTCTCTACAGAAGTCAGGAATATTCTGCAGATCACATGGCTATGTAGGTTAAAGAACTAACTGGGAGTCATGGTAATTGATACAATTCCTCTTTATCACAATTGCAGAAACAGCCCCTGAGGATTCAAAGTAGTGAGCTTGGTGCAGGGTTCTGGGACCTAAAATAACCATGGAAAGGCAAGTGAGAGAAAGAGGTAATTAATGTGGCTCCATTTAGAACTTCTCGTTTAGCAAGTTTGGCAGTGCAGAAGAGAGAATACGCACGTGAGCATCTCCAGCGGGAATGACGAACAGGAGAAACGTGTCTCCATGACTGGTGAGGAAAGGTTAACTTATGAATGAGCCAATAGCTGATGAATGAGGGATACCGATGACAGAGTGTGATATGGGGCAATGAGGTGGGAGGCTCTCAAGACTTCAGAGACAGGACAAGACATCCGAGTTGAAGATTTTCAGTGGCATAGGAGGCACCAGATCCTTGGGTGCTCTGAAGCATGGAAGAAGGGCATAAATCAAGATCGGGAATTATTTTTTCGGCTGTTTGCCTTTACTTGAGATATGCCTGCAAACCAGGTTTAAGTTTTATTGGTGAACTTAGAAACGTTAGACACACGTTATATAGGAGTCAGTGAAAATTTCTAGCTATTCTGGTGTTTTTGTTTCTGTTTTTTTTTTTTTTTTTTTTAAGTATTGCCCAGACAAGGGAAGAAATATTCAAATATTTGAAGAAGAAGCGATCAAAGGAAGGTTAGAAATGGGAGAAGGGGCAGGACATCTACCCTCCAGCTAATGGGGAAATCAGGTTTACAATTGTGAATTAAATTGAAATTTAGAAGTCCACCTTGGCATCTCTGAGGGATGTTTTCTTTGGCCTCCTCACAAATCCTCCTCCTTGGGAAACTGTAGCCATTTACCACAGAACGCCAGGGTCCTACAGTGGGGTAGCCTTTGTTGAAATGGATGACATTTTTCAGTTTAAAATAATGAACACATGGCAACGTTGCTGACATCCATCACTCAGAGACTCATCTCCCAGAAGTCTGGAGCAGAAGCATAATTATGGAGGCTGGTCAAGGAGGGGAGAAATGGGATGCTGTTGACCAAAGGGTTTCCGTTCGATCAGTGAAGTAAGTTTGGGGCTCTGCCCTGAAACATGGCTATAGTCAATAGCAATACATCGTGCATTTCAAAAGAAGATTTGATTTCAAAAGTCTAATCAAAAGGAAGGATAAGACATTGAGCTTATGGGTATGTTAATTGACTTGATTTAACCATGCCATCTTGTATCCATATACCACCTTCTACACTGTTCTCCGTAAAATATACAATTGTGTCCTGTCAATCAAAAGTAATACTACTGATATTTTTAAGGTCTCTATTTACCTTAAAAAGACCTTTCTAAAACAGCATATGAGGAAACACACACACACACACACACACACACACACACACACACACACACTTGCACATACACACACACACACACACACACACACACACACACACACACACAGACTTGTGAACTGAAAGGGAAGATGTGTTTGTATTTGTTCACTCTTCTTTACCATAGCTTGCCAACAGAAAGAATAGAGAATAGAATATCAATTAAAAGTTTTGATTTCATGATGAGGTCTCCCCTGTCCCCTGCTTTCACATTTATAATCCAGCTCTGATGTCTCCCCCCCCCCCATCAAGTTAGTGGGGAATTTTCAGAGTCTTGGGAAGTCCTCAGTGTTTAGAGATTGACACTGAATTATGTCCCTTACAGCAGATTTAACAAGCGAAAAATGGGGAAGTTTTTTTTTCTTTTCTTCTCTTCCTTATACATTTTACAAACATTATCTTGGCAGAGTGTTTAAGAGAAAGATAAACAAAATGTCAGGAACATTTACAAAGGGACAGTACAACAGAGAGACCAAGGTGTCAGAACAGAAAAGAGTGGCCATTGTCCAAGGGATGGGGGCTGCCTCTGGAGTGATGAGGTGGTGGTACTGAGTGTCCTTCATGGACACGAAATTCACTTCTGATAGCCTGAAGTGGAAAGGCAGCCTCTCTCCTTCTCTTCTGGGACCCAGCAGGAAAGTCATAAAGTTTTTTTCTGTAGCTCAAGGCTATTTACTTGCAGAGAGGCTGTGAGAATAAGTGGGAGAATAAACGTCTAGCTACCCAAATCACCTTCTTCCTTGGGAAGCTTCATGAAAACCTAATAAGAGTGTGTGTGATGCTCCAGATCTGCATGTTCTAAGCATCCACAGATGTTTTCTCTTGGCACAGATAATAAGGATCTAAGATTAAATGTTAACGTTTAATAATTAATACTGTTCAGGCTCCCGATCCCTTCTGTTGAAAGTTGGCACTGTGGTACAACCACTGGTGTGCTGGCATTCTGTAACACCCAATGCGCACATTCCCAGGCTCTTGTAATGTCACATTCGGGAGAAATGTTACGTTTAGCTTTTCAGGATGTCATAATTATATTTTTCAAAAACTGGACCAGATGTTAGAATCTGCTTATATACATTTAGTGCCATATCTACACTTAAGAGTTATTGATATATTTTAAAGAGATTAATAATGTGCTCTCCTTAATATTCTTTGGGATCATTATCATTTTTATTGTTATATGGAGTTGGGTTTGAACCAGGGGCTTTACACACAGTAGGAGAGCTCTCTACCACTGTTTAATATGCTTCTGACTCCTCTCCCAACTTAACTGTAACTGTGAAATTCTCATCTATGAAATGTTAACATCTGATGAATTTGAACAAGGGGTATGCAAACAGTCTGTGTGTGAGTGTGACTTTTTCAGCTTCTCCGTAATTCTGAAATTAGGTCATGAAAAACACTCTTAGAAATTAGTCTACGTATCCAAACTTGTTCTAAACATTCTTTTAAAATACCCCAAGGGCTGAGGCTAAAACTCAGTGGTAGAGTGTGTGCACAAGGCTCTGGATTAAATCCCTGGCATTGTAAAAACGTGATCATAGAGTGAGGGAACCTTCACCTGCAGAAGCATCAACTAAAGGAAATCTGTCTTTCCATATGCAGAAGTAGAAAGCAGGTAGATTAAAGTCCCCCCAACCACCACCACAGGAACAGAGTATCAGTTCTGTGTATTGTGTAGCTAACAAGGTCACAGGCTGTTCAGCTGCCGGAGCAAACCTGATTAAGACTGTGATAATCTTTTGAAAGACTGTAATTCATCTCCATTTGAGGGACATTATCTTAGCGTCTCAGCCATCTCAGGGAGCAAGGTTAACAAATATTCAGTGATGAGTTTTTGAAGGCTGTAGTCAAGTCTTGTTCTCTTAAGTCCTTTGAAAGGCCTGTCAGAAGGCAGTGGAATAAAAATGGTCAAATTTGTACGCAGAGCCACAGAACGGCTGCTATCTGAGAAAGTGCTGCATGATTCACAGTCACTGTGTTTACTTAAGTAATTTCTGGTTTGCTTTCGACTGAAGACAAGCTGTTCCCATTGCTCACGTGGGAGAATTGACCACAAAAACTTCTGTTTACTTAAAATAAGGAACCCTGAGACAGAAGATCCACGGCGAGGGGGCTGTACTTCCACATTGTGCAGCCACTCTAGTGAAGGGTCAGCATAACTGATCATCTCACCAAACTCATTTGCGGTAAATGTGGATGTTAACATCCACAAATGGCTTTGAAATGTATTTTTAGGTAAAGGGGGATAGAAAGAATTGAAAGAATCAACATCTTCTGGGGTCTAGGGGACCTTTTTTTCTTTTTTTTTTTTGTAAACAGGTTACCCACATTGAATTCTCCCAGTAACCCCCATGAAGTATGTTTGCTCTATACTCGTGTATTTGTATGTAGTACATGTCTGGTGTATACTTATGTGTACTCATCTCACAGATGAGTACACACCATCAAGGGAAAAAGAAGTGTGCAGCACCAGTTCACAGACTCCATTGGGAACTCAGCTGGGGAAACACTCTCTGAATGGATGCACCTCCCACCGCTGGGCACATCTTTTTTGAATGCTTTTGTGGGATCCTGCCTGGCCACTCATTCCAGTGACTGGTTCTTTCTCTCTTGTTGGAAGCAGTTTCTTTAATATGGACTATCGCTGTAATGAAAACATCCAATGGGCTGGAGAAGCCTCAGTACCTATCATTTTTCTAGTATCATAAAGTGGGAATGGAGCCAAGGAGGACTTGTTGATTGGCCTTTCCCATCGTCTTTATATTTAGAACGTCCAGATCTAGTAGCATACTACTGATAGATTCACAACATGCCCCCAGGGTTGGGCATGATTGTGCAAGCCCGGCAGACCTACACATTTTCGCCTAGCCAGTTCCAGGTCAAAATAGCCAGTTCCGGGTCAAACCGTCTCACATGACCAGGACCCCATGGCTTTGCATGGCTGCGTAAAGTGTGCAATGCAACCATGTGATCTACGCGCATGCGTGGAGTAGCCACATCGACCTGTGTACGCATGCGCGACCCAGCCTTTATAAGCCCACCATATTCTGGCTTCCTTCTTCATGCACGTGTCTCTTCAACAGGCCTGTCTTTCTCTCTTATCTTAATAAAACTCGTTAGTGGATTCTGTCGTGTTTTGTGACATTTCCTCACAGGGTAAGAGTGCCGCCAA